TACTCCCGTAGCCAAGGTTAATCTGCAAGGCAGCCGGGCAGTGGTTGGTAGGCGCTAGGACGTGTCCGCATGCAAGTGGGCCTATGCATCATCCCTCTGGGGCCCACTGCTATTCCGATATCACCTGCTGATCTAGCCTGGGAGCACGAGGCACCCAGCTACCGTGTGTTACCACGAGGAGGCACAGCATGAACCTTGTTGGTGAAGAGGCTGTGTACTGTCAGGGGAAGACTTATGCAAGTTGCTTCCCTGGTCGCCACGGGGGCTAGTCTGCGGCAGCTGAAGGCGAGAGGGAGCAAGCAGTGCTTGCACCTCAACATTAACATAATGCTGCCACCCTAGACGCGTTTCAACACCCTGTGTGTGGTTGCACACACACTTACTTGCTTATGGCAGCATTATGTTAATGTTGAGGTGCAAGCACTGCTTGCTCCCTCTCGATGACGACGTTGCTCTAGGGATCAGAACTAAGACTGAACCCTAGATGACTAGCGAGATATATGAATCCATCAGACACAGAGATCAACTCGCTTGTAAGATTAAAAAAGACAGAATTTCGCGAGAAGAAACAACGTAGAGAGAGAGAGAGAGATGAAGCGAGCAAAATCAGAATTCTTCAACAATAAGATTAAAGAAAATAAGAATAAGAATAAAAAAAGATCTGGAAGCACCTACTCTAAGAACCCTTGGACACTGTCACACAGCCACAAACCAAAAGAACATTTAAGCGCAGTGCTAAATATTGATAATGAACCACGTCACGACGCATATGCAGTTGCAAACTATTCTAAATCCTTTTATACAACAGCAGTTGTCTTATCTTTAGTCAATAAACTGCCGACTGCCTCAAACAATTACAGTGTATTTTCAGATGCTTTTAAATCCCACTACATAAAGAATGGAATCACTTCAGACAGTCTTGAACTCCACGCTGTGACAGAAAACTTAATTGTTATAAAAGAATTAAATAGATCAGACCCCCTTGCAAAAGCATGGGCACTTGTAACATCGCAGCCATTTTTAAGGAGTAGTGCCACTGTATTAAAAACACCAGTTACACTTATTAATTTTTCCATTATTACCAGTACTGTGCCAGATGAAAATACGTTTGCCAGAGTAACACCAACAAGAAAGGCGACAGGTCTAAGGTAGGTAATTACAGGCCAGTTAGTAGCCTGTGTATTGTAACTAAAATTCTGGAGACAGCAGTGTACTGTATATTGGAGTGGAAAGATATCTCCGTGCAGTTACCACTCGACTAACACCAGCTTGATCCTTCTCACTGACCATATCAGGACACAAATAGCTCATGGAAATTACACAGCGATGTTTATATTAGATTTCCACAAAGCCCTCGACACAGTGGATCTTGATATACTTTGAGAAAAACTGCAGACTTTTGGCATTAAATCTGTTGACTGGTTTAGACAAGCTTATCTTTATCTGTTTTAAGAGCCACGTGAAATTCCTCTCGCCATATTGTCATATTTCACCACCAGTAACTGTCAATGTTATCCCAGGTAAAAATTTATTATTTAATTCATGCAACTACAAACAATTAAACATGATCACACGGGATAATTACCCGGGACCCCTAACACGTCTAATCAAGGAAACTAAAACAAAACTACTCCCCTACTTAATGTATTACACAGAACGCGAATAGGTCTAATAATACAACTATTTTCACGAAATTGGGAACACGGAACCAACACAAACCTTTCCCAGGTTATAAAAATAATAATTACTATTATTGTTCAATAAAATTGTCATACGGGTTTATAATTGGAAAAATTGCTTGCCATAAGCATATTTATAAACTATGCAGTTATACAGTTCAGCATGAATAGACAATATATGTATACAGTAGGAGTATACAGTCTCCTGTGTGCCGAGGCAGTGCAGGTAAACAACAATGGTAAACAGTACGGAAACTTGGCCAAGGATAGCGGACAAAGCTGTCAGGTGCTTATTTCCACTCTATTCATGCTGAATTGTAAAACTGCATAGTTTATATACATGGCTATCCAATTGTATACCTGGCCATAGAACATGTTTAGTAAATTACTGAATATTATCGTCATTAATCCACATACGCACAAATTATCACAATTTCTTAAGTTATCCTCAAAATAGTAACAAAGAAAATTAAGTTTTTAGGAGTAACATCTCTATTTCAATTGCGTATCAAGACACTGCTTCAACCTCTTCGCCACTGATCGGCTCGTTACCCTCTTAGGCGGTCGGTCACGCCTCTTATCTGTTCCGCACTGTTGGCAAGTACTGGGCATGTACTGGCTCTTGAAAGTATCTGGACCTGCGACAGTGTTGGTCAAGTCTGGTCTTGAATGCGCTCACACCTTGGGAACAACTAACTACTTCTCATGACTTAAAAGTTACAACATCGTATCACCTTGCTCCTTATTACTAATGCCGTTCGGAACTTTTGAATACAAAGACACTCATATTCTCATATGGCAAGAACCTGAAAATTCTTGTGATAGCTGTACCACCGATCAGCGGTGTTAAGCAACGTTGGGTTTGGTTGATACTTGGATGGGCGAGTGCCTGGCTCTAAGAACACCAGACGCCGCTGGCACAAGGAATCTACTGGAAATAAACCCCTTATGGATTTGTCAGCTGTCCTTGGTCAAATTGACTTACTTTTAGTTATTATAATTATATAATTTTACTTACTTTTATCCTCTTTGCCATAGATCGGCTCGTTAGCCGCTTGGGCGGTCGGTCACGTCCCTGTTATGAGCTGTTGGCAAGCGTCCGCCAGCTCCAAACTACCCTAGAAATAAAAAAAAGTGATACGACCAAATGGATGAATCACAAATCCAGGAGAACCATCAAAAGAAAACACAACAGTGGGAAAAATACCAGAGCACAAAATATTAAGAATAACCCTGAAAGTCCTCTAATGCATATCCCAAGTGCAATATGAAAACGCAAAATACTGTTGGCCCTCTAAAGGTCGTAAACAAGGTGGCTCTGGAGGACGATAAACAGACAACAGATGCCCTAAAATTCTAAATTATTACTTTGCATCAGTGTTCAAACAATACACACTAAATAACATGCCAGTACCTGGGAGGATGCATACCTCAAGAATTGAAAATGGATTAACAGAGATAGAAATCACAGATGACATCAAAAAGAGAACAGCCAGTCTAATATAATTCCAAGCTCCCAGGAGTGAACGAAGCACAGACCATGATGATAAAGGAGACAGCAAACGAGATATGCTCTCATCCAAGATTATGAATCGGCTGCTTGTCCAATTAACCAGTCCGTTCACACATATTTATATTTGGGTTTTAAGTAACGAAACCCAAACGGTAGTTCCTTTGTTTTATTATAAAAGGTTGTATATATAATTCCCGAGTGTATATCAACCGTAAGTCTCACTGTCTAGGAGTGAATGAGAAAGGGACGGCGTTTATGTATGATAAACGTTAGGTCACGTCCTTTCGATATGAGTTGAGGTGAGCTACTGAAGCTTAGGGGCATTGCAGCGCGTGCTTACAGAAATGCTGAGCTATGGGTCTCGCCCTCTTGGGTAAGTTGCCCGCTCACGTGTCAATCTCATGTCTTACTCATAGACAGTGGAAAGTTACAGGGTGGTGAATCTGAATATAATATCAGATGTATTGACCCATTTATATAATACGTTCTGTTGATGAGACAGGGGCCTATTACATCGCTCGGTCACCTACCAGCCGAGCTCCGTGAGGCCTAAATAACTCACAGAGTACAGTACATCCTAGACAACCCTAACCATGTTATAAACAGATATGTAGACACTAAGCTGGGGAAATTACTGAAGGGGTATTCTCTACTACAGGGGACCTAGACTTTGTGTCGTACGGGTTAGTATGTTATGAACAATGTTGAATTTGGATGATACTGCCCAGTAATAACAGAACAGGAACATTATTGCCAGAATTAACAGAATAGAGGGAATCGTAAGACTTGGTAGTGCAAATTCCCGTGACAGGTAAAATGGCAAGTTATTATTCAAATCAGCAAAATGTGTCTCGTTCAAGAAAGCTAACACTTTTAATTTCTCTGATACTATTTGAATATCCTTGATAGTGAAATTCATTATAGGAAGTGGAATTAAAGCAGACTTGAGTTTTCGATTTAACGCAAAATGCTGATGAGTAGGCAAGGTCCGTAATGTACTACAAGTGATTTCACAGTAATCAGGAGCCTTGTAATGCCCTTTCACAACTAGCTGCTTAACACCATTTTGGCATTTTAAAATTACAGTAGTGAGATTTGGAAAGAACAAATACTGCACATTGTGAAGGTGAGCGTGGAACACAGTCTTTAGACTAACTGGCCTATAACTGCATTGCGCTAACGCTGTGCGTACATTTGGTTGTATGACTGCCAATTCACATATACCCTCTGCAGCAGGAATAAATGCAAACATGTAGGCTGGACATACGTGTAGGTGTAGATAAGACGACTTACACCGTGACAGTACCTCAGAATCCTCTATTGATAACAATGAATATTCTTCATCTACTAAGAAAAGTTCTTTAGGCCTATCTAGGGTATACAGTGTGTCGTTCACAAACCAGGGGAAGGGTTCTAAATGCCATGCATTAAACTCATGTTGCCCTCGCATAGGAATGTGGATCAGAATTGCATTGTGCGTGAGGGTTGACTCCAACAGTGGGTAATGATATTGAACCTCATTGTCATTGAAAATCGGAGTTAAATGATACTGCAACTTGGCTATTTTTAAAGCTTCAAGAAGCGTCTGCACAGGCACAAGCTTCGCGTCCACACGTCCTATCCCGGCATCTACAATGCTGTCTATTAGTTCATTTTTAGAGGTTCAAGAAATACCTGGATCAAGAATAAGTGTCTTAGGACTGGAACCTAGATAAATTTTTCGTAATGTCACGTGCCACCAACACAAGAAACCACAAGGCATCATGCAAGACAAATAAAATGAAGCGAGAACAGTACTGGGCTTCAAATTAGTCCTTGACAAGACTATCAAGACCAAAGGTGGGAGCCGAATAGGGATACTGGCCTCCCTCTTCCGTCTTGGCCGCCTGAAGGTGGAGTACGAGTAGCCAAGGTAACTCACAAAACCGAAGCCAACCATATGACAAGCCATGAAGTCGAAGTCATCTCTAAAGTTATGAAGCCGAAGCCAAGTCTTTTTAAGGCCACACGAAACTTTAACACCATTACTTATATAATATATTGTATTACCTTACATGTTGATGGGAATAAATATGATATTCTGAGTTGTAACAGGGCTTTGAGATAAGCTGACTAATTTAAGCGGATTATTCTTTGGGTAAGTTTTTACTGTGTCGGACAAAACCCCCCGAGGGTATGTAAAATAATTACTTATGTAATTTATTATATCATAAGATTTTAATAAAAAAGCATTATAAAAAGTACTTAACGAGTAACAATATTAGTTTTTAATTATTATACTGGAATACATTAGCATAACCATAAAACAACATTATAAAGGGATTATCATGCCGTATCTAGCCAAAGTCAACAAACAGATCAAACGCAATATTCTTGAGTTCATTAAGTGTTCAGGTTCATTCACAGTTCATTTTACTTCCATCTAATGCTATGACCTACGCCCCTCAGAAGCTACCCAGGTCTAAACACAGGTTCTTCACACACTGTTGATGTTTCTTACGGTTTTGTGTTTCACCTTTGTTACGAGTTGGGGATTTAGAATATAGTTAAAAGTCTACCTAGATCCCAACAGGCAACAACAACAACAAAAACTTAAATAAACAAAGACAATTCGACTATAAAAGGGTAGACAAAGGATGCGAGTTTTTGTTGTGTATAATAAAGTACTGTACCATAAATTCCTTAACAAAATATTCAGCTTTCTATAATTTACCCTTAACCATACTTAACCTAAACATACGCAACATTGGCTTAACAGTATATACATATTTATACAACATACAACAATCTAAAGCAAGTGGAGGTGGAAGGTAGCATAAGATTACAAAATACTCAAGTGCGGGGCTGAGGTGTCTGACGAGTAAGACTGAGTATTGAAGAAGATGGTAGGTAGTCACTGTGCCGTAGGTTTCCAGGATAGGAGATCCTAGTGTGATCACTTCCCAGAGAGAACTGAACTCTCCTCAATCTGGAGCTGATGAGGAAGACTTGAAGGAGGTGCCGCAACAACCAGGATATGGAGAAGGGAAACCCCGGAGTGGTAACTAAGACTAGTCATACTCGGGTTTCGTCCCTAGATGGCGTTGCTCGTGGTGCTGGGTAGGTAGATCATGACGATTGATGGCGTGGTTCGTAACACCTTTTATAATTGTATTTTGATCATATTAAACAAATAATGTACAGCATATCATAATAGTGGCGAATCTAAGGCGGTACATGTTTTTACCTGACTTGTGAAATGACATGACCAATATGTCAGAGGCGATGAACGGAAAAAAAAGTCACATAAAAAAACATTAACAAGGAAAAAGGCCTAAAACATTTAAAGGCGTTAGTTAATTGACAATACATAACTTCCACAGATTGACAACACAATTTATCTTGGCACTAAGCTATATTGTACAGTATTTGTACAAGAATTGAAGCGAAGTTTGTCGTCAGACTGCCCCGACAGCGACCACTATATCTGTTCTCACATTTCTACCAAGTGACAAGCTTGGTATACATGAACTCATTGTAGCAGAGTTTTGAAGCACACTTATAACTGCCAATAGTTTCCATGGCAGTAGGAGTATATAACATTAAAAAAAAATAAGCCCCAGCGGTACCGAGCTCCGAGCTTTCCGCTATATATTTGTTTTGCTCTTACTTTCGTTTATGAATAATAATATTAACGGGTATTTTATAGAGACTACAATTGTGTCGCATTGTGAGTTACCCAAATATCATACTAGTTATAAACAAATTGAAAAAAAAAATAACCCGCAATTAGTTACGTAACAATATGAAAAGCATATGTCTGACAATTGCTAACTATAAAACAAGGCTTAGACAGTTTTGATGACAAGTGGTCACAGCTTCACCAAAACCTAACACCAGGTTATACACGGTTCCTCTGTGATGTTGACATCATGACGGTCTTACCTGAGTCGGCCACCCACGCCAAGGCACCAGTTACATGGTAATTCTCATACACAGGAATTGTCAAAAGTACCGTCTTACCACAAGTGACCGTTGTGGGAAAGTTAAGGAACAAAACTATAAAAATGTCATATTTCTGTTAGTGGTTATGCTTTTATTAGATATCACACTTTAATCAACCCCCCAAAGCCAAATTGAGTTGAAAACAGTCAAACAAACCGCCAATTCGCCTCGACCAAAATTTCAACAATGTTTTTACGTGCTTTGAGAATTTGCAGCCCGGAATTCATTGATGAGGAATATAAATATATCTATAATATTGGCTCAAACCTTAAATGCCCTAGATCTTTCATAGACAAATGCCTAAACATTACTAAGAAAACTTTTTACAGAACTGATCCCAAGCCCACCCATGACCATAAGAATATCTTAATATTACCATTTCACAAAAATTTCTCACACATTCCTTTACAACTAAAAACCTGGAACGTCAATGTGGCATTTAAAAACTCATGCACTGTTAAACAAATGTTAATCAAGAACTCCCCCAACAACACAATTGGTTGCATTTATAAAGTTCCTTGCAAGGAATGTAATATGTTTTATTTAGGCCAGACAGGTAAAGATCTTGTAACTAGACTTAAACAACATAAATATAGTGTGAGGACAGGCCAGGAATCCAATGCTCTGTTTGTTCATTTGAGGGATAACAAGCATTGCATTGACTGGGATAATGCCTCCTCAATATTACCTTGTAATTCAATTGATAGTAGGAACATCATAGAATCTAGTCTCATTAAACATACCGAAGCATTCAACATGAATTTGAGTAATGGCATGTACAAACTGGACAATTTTGTAATTAAGAAGATTTGTAACCAGGTGAGAAGGTTGGGTCACCTTACCCTCTGACCTGACTACCGACCGTTGCGGTGCTATTTAAAGATTAGTAGGGTCATTACCTAATACCTGACCATTGTGGACCTGGTCTCACCCTCCTCTGTATATATACACCTTGTTTTGTACTTCTCTTTAGTCTGTACTCACCCCTGAAGATGTGAATTACATGAAAAGCGCTTGGGAACTTCGTGTTTTCTTCTTTCCTTGTGGTTATCAGCATATATATATATATATATATATATATATATATATATATATATATATATATATATATATATATATATATATATATATATATATATATGTATATATATATATATATATATATATATATATATATATATATATATATATATATATATATTATATATATATATATATATATATATATATATATATATATATATATATATATTATTAAAATTGACCTTAATGGGTAAATTTAACTGTAATAATAATGCAAAAGAAAATGTATATAAATGATTGTAAACCTAAGTTAGATACCTACTACGTACACAGAACGCTTCATCACAGGAATTGCACTTGTGACGATGTGCTCCCTCCGTGTTGACTCTTCTCAAAAGTTTGATTTTGGGAAAGATTCTGAAATACCTTCTGCCAGTAGCTGTACTTAGGCTTCTCATAGTAGCTCAGACCACGAACATACTTGAAGAAATGAGAAAACTCCTCAGGGTAACCAAGGAAGAGAGCCTGGGTGGTGTTTGCCTTTAACCAGGCGATGCGTTCTCGGTTGGCTGTGTTCTTGGTCCGGAGGTGTGACCAAGGTAAGGTGCCCTTAAGGAGTTTGGCTACAGTGTAAGTCAGATACTCCAGGTCGTCTCGCCGTGATTGCCGCTTGATAAGTAGACGGGGAGGCCGATGGACACCGTTCTTATCGCGATACTTGCGTGCCAGTCCAAAATCTATTAGTAAGATCTTCTGGCAGTCTTGGTGGCCCATATACATATCACAGACGATGTTCTGTGGCCTTATGTCTCTATGAATGTAACCACTCCTGTGTACCTGACGGAGGAGCCCCAACATCTGTACCAGCAGAAAGCTCATCATCACCACAGAGAGAGTGCCGTTTGCAGTCCGAGCCAGAGACTTCAGGTTGTCACCTTTAAGATCCATCGTCATGGCACTGTGGTTCCCAAGTTTCCAGTAATCGTACACAGATGGTACACGAGCCCCTCGCTCCCCGAGATACTTGAGAACCTTGAACTCATTCCTGAGTACGTCTCTGCCCGCTCGCTCTACCTTGAGGGCGACGCTGGCGTTGGTATCCAGTTGACGGACGTGGTAGACGCTGCCATAGCCGCCCTGTCCCAGCTTGTTGACCACTCGGTACTGGCCGTTCACCATGGCTCCCTTACGCAGCGCAATATGCAGAACCATGGTTACCTTGGGCAGGAACAATAAAAATAAAAAATAAAAATTAAACAAATACATACAAAAAAAATATTAGCGAACGATAACACTGAAATTTCCATTGGAAAATGATCTCGGTCAATAATATCTATACAGTGTTCGGTTGAGTTTAGATGCTGAGTTTCGTCACCTCATCTCTAACACGACAACTCTACTTCGTGTTTTCTAAATTCTTTATCTTGTTGCTGTCACACTTATGGCTTTATTGTCCTCGTCCATGCCATTATGCCCCCGATTTAACCCCTTGTTTGTTTCTTCTTAAATACCGTTTTATTTGTTTTATTTCTCTTCCTATTCCATTACTTCACTTCCTCTTCTGCAACGATCATCTCTCACGCATTTCTTCAGTCTTTTTCTCTTCATTATTCCCCCATCGGTGTCGATCTCAAGGTTTTTGAGACCATTGATTTTGGTTGAGTAAAAATGTGCCATCTGAAAGTCAGACTCTGGGAGATATTTCCTCAAGATCACGGACAATTTCCCACTACCACCCAACAGGACGAAGAATTATATTGTTATCACATGTTTCAAGTATCCAGCTACGTCAGAGATTAGTGACGTGTGTTGACAGGTGCGAGCCAGGAGGGAGGGGGGGTGGAGCAGGGTGGAGGTGTGGGGATTGGTGGAGGTGTGGGGGTTGGTGATGGTGGGGTTGTGGAGAGGGAATGGAGGTGAGAGTGGGAGGTGGGGGAAGGGGTTAGATTGGGGGATAAGTGGAAGGTTAACTGATAAAGATCTCAGTCACTCAATCTAATGACCTAGAACTACCGGCAGATAGTAAGGCAGTGAGAGAGTCGTTTACGGAACTATTTGATAAATCAGTTAGTTTGCTAGCAAGTCATTCAGTCTATTAACGAGCCAGTCAGTCAGCCAAGAAAGGCAGTCATAGGGTTTACTAATGCAGCCAAAGTGAACTAGTAAGTAGGGGTATGCCTCAAGTACACCTCTAAGCATTTCGCATGGCACTGAATGGGGCTGTGTACAGAATGTGTCAAAAGTATTTATTTTTTAAACACTAAGTCACCATTGTGTACACATTTCAGCTTCCTAGCTCAGAATATGACCGAGATACCGCCCGGACAAGCAAACAAGAAAGTAAATAAATTGACGAAGCAACGAGTTCCCCCTTGCATACGCTTAGCACGCACAGGGAGTCGTAATGGAGGAAGAGGTCCGTGTACAGTGTATTTTCTTGAACCTGTGAAGTTATATATTCTTTAATTATCCTCAATGACTAAAGAGCGTGACAAGGATGTATATGTGTACCTGTACTTCGGTTGGCCGATTGAATCCCAGTCAACCAATCAGACGCACACAAAGAGGGCCGTATCCCGAACCTTATTGGTCGGCAAGGAGGCACTTAACCACACTAACTTCAGAGTGTCCCCGTTTTCTTTGGAAGCTCAACAGTCTTGACGAAGTTGGCGTCCTCCACTACCACATTTAATTTCCACCCTCTCCTCGGCTAAGAAACAGACCTGTGCCCGGCCTCTTCCCAGCTGAGAGGCTGTATCTAGTTGGCCCACAAGAAGTCATCGTTGAACGGGGTAGGCACCTTAATAATAATTTTTTTCTTTACCTGTGTTAGAGTTAGCCTTGAAACACGGAGTTCATCCTCTCGTTCAAGAGAATACGGCGGAATTATCTTGACTGATCTGGGATTTTGCGAGACCTTTATGTGATAACTGAAGGTTTACAAAGTATACTACAGTAGTATTGGGTATTACATGTCACGTTTACTCCTCGTATGAAGTTCAATTTCTGAAAACTTAGCCTCTGTATGAATGAATATTGATGGTTTGTTAATTATTACTACAGCAGTTGTGACCTAGCAAACTGTGTTGCAGAACATTTCCCACAGTTTTAACAATTTAATCAATATCTATATGTTGGTGTTCTGGATTTAAAGGATAATCATCCAATTAATCCTAAAATGTATCAGATTTTGTTCTGAATTTGCATAATACGGTATGTATTTTAACTCCACGAAAATTAGTATTGTATGCCAAAGGCAAATTTGACTGTTTACTTTTACTTACTTTTATCCTCTTCACCACTGATCGGCTCGTTAGCCGCCCGGGCGATCGGTCACGTCTCTGTTACGCACTGTTGGCAAGTACTGGGCATGCACCGGCTCCTGAGTGTACCTGAACCCGCTCCAGTGTTGGTCAAGTCTTGTCTTGAAAGACCTCACACCCGGTGCCGTCACAACTCTTTCTGGTAGATTGTTCCAAGAATTTACAACCCTCACTCCGAAAAAAGTTTGCCCTCACAGTTTTCTGGACTTGCGGCTTCTTCGATCTTGAGCTGTGACCCCTTGTGGGGAGAGCGTCCGCCAGCTCCAAGTATGGACACTGAACTGAGTAGTGCCCCTTGAGATGCTTATACACCTCAATTAGGTCCTCCCTTGCCCGTCTGTAGTATAAGCTAGGCAAGTTCAGGCGCTCCAATCTCTCAGGGTAGTTGAGGTGCCGAAGTGCAGGCACCAGTCTGGTGGCTCTTTGAACATTTTTAACCAACTGACATCCTTTGTTATCTTAACCTAAATTAGATGAAGGTTAAGTTAGACAACTACTAATATTCTTCATTTATAGTTTACCTACATGATTGTTTGTTTGTACAGTGGAGTTTGAATTTGTGAAAAAATATACTGTATACTTATCAAAATTATTGAGTTGTCACAATTACTGTATCCTTAAAACACCATACACTGCCTCTCATTCTGCAATGAGTCTTTGATGTTAATGCTATGTGTGAGGCTACCAGAGGTGTAATGGTCAGCATGCTTGCAAATGGATCCATATTCGATACCCAGGCAGGGTGAAACTACTGTACGGCAAGTTACTTGGGGATATTCGTCTGTTTACCTAAGCAGTATAGTATTTGAATCTTGATCTTAATAATTGTTAACCAGTGCAGTTTGGCGAATTGTCCAGTCTTATCTGATTATTCTATGACACTGGGCCTTACAGCTCATTAACTTACGGTATGGTTTTTGTGTTGGCAACAGGCTTCTATACCTTAAGCAAATTCATGCCAAGGTGGCCCCAGAGCCGGTCATCCTTGTAGCACACGAGAGGCAACCATTATTACTACAGTACTGTATTATTATTATGTGGCGAGGTTATCCTATAGATAAAATAAAGTCATATTTTACTTGCCTCTTTTCTTCCTCAAATTAAAATTTTTCAATGGGAAAATTATATTTCTTTAGACTTTAGACTTCTATTTGCAACTACTGTATCAGTATTCTTCACATGTATGTGCAGTATTGTACTACAGTAGTTCTTATTGCTTCATCTCATCCTTATTTTCTTTGCCAATTTTGTTTAATTTGTAATAGCTTTTACAATTCCAGCTGTTCCTTATATAACTTTTCAATTTTGTCATCCAATTATATTTTATTTTCAATGTAATTTCCTATAATTATCTAATTTTCTTAAAGTTGTGTAGTTTATAAAGGCATACACAATCTGAATTAAAAAAATGCAAATGTGTGGTCTGAGAAGTATCTTCTTAGCTTTGGCCAGTGAATATTGAAACCTGGTGCACTCTACTGAAAGCACAACATCTGGTCAATTGGTACGCCTTACTAGATACAAGCTTTGAGTTGTTCAATGAATTATGGTTTGAAATATTAGACTTACTATCCTAGCTGTGGAGTATGGACACACACCCAACAATGAATAATCAAAGGAGAAAGTAAGTAATTATGAGAATCAAATAGTTGGTTATCCCTTTCCTAGGTTCCACAGACTGCCAACTTTATGAGGTACATAGATGTATGCTTCATATAGTGAACTTCTCTGCAATGTATTTGCCAAAACTTGGGAGGATAGTTGTTTTTGCGACACATTAAATATCCAAAAGAAGGATTTAGAAAAATACATATCAAAGAAGTCTAGCTAACGTTCCCCAGTGATAGTGGCGCTATAGTCCTGCTAAGGTGGCATTATGTTCCCCCAGGAGTGGCACCATGGTCACCCAGTAGTCGTGGCACCATGGTCACCCAGCAGTAGTGGCACCATGGTCACCCAGTAGTAGTGGCACCATCGTCACCCAGCAGTAGTGGCACCATGGTCACCCAGTAGTAGTGGCACCATGGTCACCCAGCAGTAGTGGCACCATGGTCACCCAGCAGTAGTGGCACCATGGTCACCCAGCAGTAATGGCACCATGGTCACCCAGTAGTAGGTGGCACCATGGTCACCCAGTAGTAGTGGCACCAAGGTCACCCAGCAGTAGTGGCACCAAGGTCACCCAGCAGTTGTGGCACCATGGTCACCCAGCAGTAGCAGCACCATGGTCACCCAGTAGTAGTGGCACCATGGTCACCCAGTAGTAGTGGCACCATGGTCACCCAGTAGTAGTGCCACCATGGTCACCCAGCAGGAGTGACATACTTGCAATATGCATCTCAATCTTCAATTACACAAAATTAATACCTCGGACTGTGTGACCACCAGTACACATGATAATATCAGCAGCATTTAACATCCAGTAGTGAGAAGTAAAAACAGCCTGAGAACATTTAGAGTGGAGGACTGTGGTCACCAGCCCTCACATATGATGACAGTACTCTGATTAATTGATTGAGTGAGAAGTAATATCTGACTATATCTTATGTAACAGGAAAGTGAAGTATTGATCCAGTTGTCCTAGTATTTGGAGTTAAACAATAAAGGATCTAAGAGCACACATGTACTCATGTGGCAGTGAAGATTCTACGCATTCTTTTGTAAGAATGTGCAGTACAGAACTTTCATTGTACATGTCTCCTTTAGTGAAATCTAGTGTGAAAGTGAAGGGTATTCTGATTTTAGAATTTATTCTATTTTTAGAGTCCATTCCCAAGTTTTGCATTCTTTGAACCTGGTTTTCACCCCCACAATTTTACTGAATAGGCATACAGAACAAAGTTCCCCTTGACTTGCACAAGGCAGAAAACTGTCCCAATGACAAATTTGAAGTGCTTGTTCAGTAACCCCAGAATTTAGCACGGTGCTCTAACCAAATGAGCTAACAGGCCGTTTACCATAAACTAGCATCTGTTACCCATCCTAGTGGAAAATATATGCAGTTGAAGTAATGCTATACAGTTAATCCTCGCTTAACGTCGTGGCTCCGTTCCTGAAAACCGTGACGTTAACGGAATAAATTTCCCCAATAAGAAATAAATCAAATATACTAGTTACATTCCCCAGCCTCCCTTTGCCCCCAAAAATACATTACATATACATAAATTCAATGTAATTTTTATAGAAAATAGGATATACTGTATTATACATCCAAAAAGATAAATAAACTAAATCATTTTGTATTGCACTCACTAACGGGCGGAGGTGGAACGAGTGTGGTGGGTAGTGGAGAGGAGGAGGGTGGAAGAGGAGGAGGACGGAAGAGGAGGAGGACGGGAGAGGAGGAGGACGGGAGAGGAGGAGGACGGGAGAGGAGGAGGGCGGGAGAGGAAGAGGGCGGGAGAGGAGGACAGTGGCGAGTCACTGTTATCCTGCCATGTCAACCCAGATAGTACCAGTGAATTCCCCTTATAGACACAGGGTGCAACCTAAGAAGATATGTTAATCATTGTGTAAAATTAAAACAGACAATTATGGACCATAAATATATCCAGTGCTGGAGTATCCCCTCAGGCAGGGGTTCTCAAACTTTTTCTCAACAGGTGCCCTCAGAGTTATCAGACCATCGGCCCATACCTCCCATTGCTGAAACACTGACTATAGAATGGTACTATACTAACACTACAGGAATTTAATACAGTGATCCCTCGGTTAACGAGCGCCTCGGTTAATGAGATTTCGTTTAACGATTTACCAGCCATAAGATTTTAACTTTGGTTAACGAGCAATCCCTCGATTAAAGAGTTTCTTACGAGTGGACCTCAACATGTTTTCGCTTGCATTTGGCGGTCCAGCAGCTGTAGTATTAGTCCGCCAATACAGTAATCGATTCTAGGGCTTAAATTTCTTACTATTTTAGTAAATATCAAGAAGTTTATACTATTCAATAATTTTAAAAGTTTAATATTAAATTTTTTAGTCATTTTAACAATTATTAAACATAAGTGAAGTACAGGAAACTAGTTTTATGCACGCCAAACAGCCTGTCAACACACCAAACAGGCGTCAGTCTCTGTGTCTTCTCAGTGGAGGTAACATCTTGCTTGAGACTCTCTTCAACTAAACACTTTTTTTCTGTTTCCAAGCAAATTATTGGTCATTTTGAAATTTATTTTACATATTGACAATATATAATGCAGTGCAGTATTGATTTAAAGAAAATAATCTTGAATTACACAAGAGAACTAAAATTTTATGGGTGAAATGGCGCCATGGGGTGACTTCTCTTCCACCCCAATGCCTTCTCTTCTCCCTTCTCCACCCCCATTCTAATTCCCATCATCATCATCATCCAGGAGCCTTCAACATACACACCTCAAAGTAAGTGTACTTTACTACCTTTTTTGTTGATTTTAGGCAATATTCGGTGAGCTGGAACCAATTACTCAAAAAACCATTGAAACAATGGTTTCGGTTAACGAGCAACCTTCTGGAACGAATTGTGCTCGTTAACCGAGGGACCACTGAATAGAATGGCTGTGTTAAAACATAATTGGTGATTGGAAAAAAGCTACTTTCCATACTGTAAATATAACATTAAATTTATATAACTTTCTGAATAAAAATTAGTATATTCTATATTGATTTTCGCCAGCCCTCAATGTGCCCCCGGAAACCCCCTTGCGTACCCCTGGGGGGTGTGCAAACCTGTTTGAGAACCCCTGCCCTAAGGTAAAACAGCTCCCTCCCCAACACCCATCATTTGAATTTTAACTTAGGTAAACAGGTACAAGACAAATTACAAACAGTCCCAACTTATGAAGATCCAGTTTGTGAAAATCTGCAGTTACAAAAAATAAATTTGTCTTAAGTTTTGATTTACAGTAAAAATCCAAAGCTACATCTTTTTTTTTTCAAATTTAATGTGATAAACCAAGCTAAAAATTAATTGCGTGTAATGTTTCAGTAATTTTGATTCAGAGGATCATTATTGTAAGGCAATGGCTAGGCAATGACTGAAAATAATTTGACTGTGAGAAAGCTGATGTGTTTGTTATCCCAAAGTTTGATCTGATGTACAAGCAAAACATCTCAAAATGTAGACTTAATGTTGGTGTCACTACCAAATTAGAACTACTGTATATGTCTTGGCTGGATCATACAATAGTTTCATACAATGAAAGTTGTTATTCAAAATGCATTTTGTAGTATTTTAAGACATTTTGGGGAAGTTGTTTTTTCTCATAAGAACATACTGGTATCTCAGCTTTTATAATCCAATTTATGAAAAACCAATTTATGAAAAGATGTTTGGGGTTGGAAACCATTTTGTAAATCAGGGAATGCTTATAAAAGTACAGTTGGTAGAAACCTCCTTTTACCTAATAGTGCATACAAAGCCAAGTGCTGTGTAGACAATGCTGCCTCATTGAGGTTGGAGGACTGCTTTTATCCAAGAAAATTGAGAGGTACAAGGTGCAGAGTAAGCTTGGTGGCACACAACCTGTCAGAGTTCCTGGTTTCAGTGATGGAGTAACCCTGGCTGACTCAGTTTGGGGTTACCTTGACCAAAACCTCCCTGCTTTGGTGGTAAATTATACACAAATCATTCCAAAATGGCACTGAGTTATAAAATGAGTCATGATATTATAAAAACTTTTTATCATTAATATGGCTGCACAAATCCAACACACAGTACAAAGACTTTGTCAGGTACACAAAATACAAGGTTTTAGACATTCCTGTGCACCACCACACATACTATGTATGTAATAACATCTATTCACAGCACATGAAAACTTTACACTACTCCATCATCCAACTACAATCACTGTTAGAATTCTACAACACACCTGGTAAGATTATGTGGCTTATTGTCATTACAATGAAAACTAAAGGACATGAGAGACCAGTAATAATCTTTAATGTGGACAAAGTAATGAGGAATAATGCTGTTCAGTCTATTATTGCAGTAGGTGTTACAGGTCCAGGTAATTAGCAAAGAATGAAAGAAAATTATATTTTGATTGTCATTATGAAAAAAAAAATCATTAGATTTTTCTTTAGTATGTAAATTTAGAATTACACATTATCCTTATACTCAGCTGGATAGAAACTTCAGTAATAAGAAATACAGGGATATGGTATTCATACCAGTAATTCACTGAGACTAGAGTCTGAGATATTAATCGTAAATACAGTACGAGATATTAATTGTAAATACATTCCAAATTTAAAGTTATCAGCATAGTTACTTAATCTCGACTTATTGTAGCATTAAACTCAAATTAAAATTGCCTTACTTACATAAAGCTAATACTGAGATACATGAATATCAACATCAACACTGAATCTACTGTAAGGGTGAGTTGATTTAGGAGGGTTAAGTTAACATCATAATTTGTACACTTGGCTCGCTCCCTTTTTGTCATATCAGTGATGCTCTTGTGCTGAACTAATTGATTAAAACAATTCACTGTCACCATTAAATTCAGGGATTCATCTTAAAAATATATTTAGGATTTCTTTTTTCCACTCTGATATGGTGCAGTGGTAAAAATGGGAAAGTTACTACTTTCTTCTCATAAAAAAATTGAGAAAAAATATTGAGTGTTTGGAGTGAATTGTACAAAGAGAGGACATTTTCCAAAGGTGGTTCCAGAGGTATAATAGGGGGACTGCTCCAGCTGGTATCACCTGCTAGATATTACTAAATGAAAGAGAAGAAAAGTGAAAATGACCAATTTCCCCTAACCTTCCCCAAAACTGTTTTGAGTCAAATTAAGGAATTAAAAAAATTAAATTGGTACCATAGACAGTAAACCATTCAATCCTTCTAAACCAAATTTCTATTTTAATCAAACATTAGGATTGCTATTTTCATGGGGAATAAATTTTAGGAGTTGCTCTTTGCCTTTTTATGGTATGCTATGAGTATACAGTACTGTACATGAAATCCTGTCAGGTTTTATCCCAAAAAGAGTATTATTATTATTATTATTATTTACCTCTACAGGTAAATTACAAGTAAAGATTAGTAGTTACAAGTTAACCATGGAACAGTGTACTATTTTTCATAACAATATTCAGTTATTATCCGATCTTTTACCAAGCAGTGAAATGAGATTTGAACAGATAGCAACTGGGAAGATCTGGTAATGATGGAAATAATTGATTTGGATCGAGATAAGGATTTTCTTGTCTGTTTACACTTTTAAAGAGTGACAAGATTGTGCACTGAACCAAAACAAATACTGTAGAAGTAACTCTTGAAAACCAAGATACAGTAGAATGAAAGAGGAAAGCAGTAGGTGCGGGCACCAAAAGAGGTAAATGAGTATGAAGGAATGCAAGATAAACCATGAGCAGGGTATTAGACTCCAAGAGATGTGCATCAAATACTGACTGACTGTTTACATGTCACATAAAGTGATAATTTTTCAGCCATCAGGCAGGGGATGCCTTGAAGAGTAGTAATTCCTTTGTACTGTATATTCTTATCTGAAGAGTATATGTGTTGTAGAAATATCAGCTAAAGTAATTAAATCTATGAGGTTCGAATATAAAAGTATTAATATTCTTATTAATATTTTAATACCACAGTGGTTTTTGTATATTATTTATATTTCATTAATTACAATCCTGCCAGCAAGATTATATGAATCAAATGTCTGGTCATTGGTCACTCTCAGTCTTGGAAATCTGAACAACTCACGTGATTCACTAATAAACCATTATAAACATTATAAATCACTAGAAAGTTTTGAAGCCCACTCAGATCATATATCATTTGACTAAAACAAAATGAAATGGCATTGCAGCTTTTCAATAAGAAAAAACTCTTTGTTGGGACTGCACTGTAGACACAAATACTAATGAACACATTTGAACTAGGCTTCTGGTTCTAAATTGAACACCTATCCCACACCTAGCTGATTCCGTGTATCTCCTGTTAATAAAGATTTTTTCTAGTCGTATTAGATTTATTTATAAGGGCTAGAACTGAAGAGTCACAAACTAACCACCAACTGAAGATTTTACCATCAGTGACACAAATGGTCAAGGCAGGGAAGTGTAGTACTGTATTATATATTCTTTTTGATAATCATACTCCACTTACCTCACTTCCTGATGATCAGGAATTGCATGGGGGTAAATGGAGGGTTCCTACAAACTATGAGTTTAACCTCATAGAAATTTGATCTGATTATAACAGAAACATAAAATTAATTTCCTGAGCCTAAACCTCTCACCCAATAATAATTAGTTCAACTTTTTGATCAATGGTAATAAATTTGTGAAACATCTATGATTTAGTTAAATATGGAATGCTGTAAGCCAGTTTGTCTTCTGATGCACATGGCAGTTGACTATCTCAAGCCAGTCAAGTCATGGTTGTCACCTCTGCTTATTAATTAAATAGTATAATCACAAACTATACAGCTATGTACAAGTGTCAGCAGCCCTGGAGCACCGACTTAGCACAACCTCCTGCATGTTGGGATATGGCTATTTTCTATTTTCTTTCACAGTATTGAATAAATGTAGAAAAAATGAACATATGTTTTAACCACATAAGTGTGAGTATTTGAGGCAATATAAAAATTAGTGTTCCTACTGAGACATCATCAATGGTCACTGCTTACTAGATACTATTATTATTCCTTCTAAGCTTATTCCCAAATATTAAATTTTTAAAAAGCTTTCTTTAAGCAACTTGACAAAATGAGTTCCACAGACGATGTAAATCATATAAAGAATGAAGGAAACCATACCAAAGGTTATATAAACAAAGAAACCCAAACTGATGGTCTACAGGCCTATAGGCCTAATACGTTAACACATTTTATTAAAAAAGTTCCTAAATCTAGTATTGATTAACATTTCCTTAGTTGAAAATCGTTGGTCAATATGGAAAGTTTAAATGTTATGGCTAACAAGCCATAACACCTGTCAGCAGCTGAGTAACAGTATCAGCTGACAACTGAGAATCTGTAGAACAATTCTAATATTGAAACAATATTCACATGCAGAGTATTTGTATTGTCCTATATCCTCAGTGAAGCACCAATACAGCAATATACTGTAAAAAAAAGATGATTCAGTTATTCCACTGCCCAAATGCACTGTAATTTTTCAAATTATTACACCATATTTGTTCCAATTTCATAAATCATTTAACAAAAGGGGTATTTACCAACATACCACAAAAGGTCTGTCCTACGCATTTCATCGCAAATTGACTGAAACAATCAAATTGTAAGCAAAAAACAGTGGAATTAATTGAGTCATCAAAGTTAATAAAGATATTTTCAGGTGGACAAAACATAATATTCTGCAATGTTGTGGTACACTGCAACTGATAAGTTAGGACTTGTGCTGATCTTGACAATGTTCAGTACAGCTGAAGGACGTGCACTGATCTAGACAGTGATCAATACAACTGACTTTCTTAGTCATATGATATGGCACCTTTAAGGGCCACATATGACATAAACTCGCTTGGTTTCAGCAGTATTACGACTTGTACAGTATTCATTTATCCAGGGCCGGCCAAATGAATAGAGCGCCATCAAGCAGTGGAGCCAATGGTTGTACATCTTGCCGACAACATGCATTGGCAAGGGACGATTTCACAGCCAAAATGTAACATTTACATCCATAAGTTTCATACATAAATGTACAGCAACAACAAGAACTCTCACAGAACCATAATAAATATAAACACAGCTATGGCTATATGTACAAAACATGTCAATTAATGGGACTTAGGTGATATCTGAGTTGAGTTGTGTACAAGGAACAGAGCTGACATGAATAGAACATATTTTTGGTAAGTTTTATGAATTATTTTCCACATTGCTCTTCAAATGCAGCCATCAGGTCACTCTGACGATTCATGTCGATCTGACCTGCCATCTGAAATAAATAAAATATATCTTCACTTGCATGTCAAATGGCAAACATCTATTAACATTTAATCAAAATTTTAAGTCAATATTAGACCTAAAGAGCCACCCCTTTCCGTTAAATAAAAATTTCCGCTGAATTGAATTTCCGTTATATTTGCACGATTTAGCGGACTAGTTCACTAAATCGATCGTGATTCAATTAAATTCTCGGTCAACTTATTACTGTGCTTAGACATCATGCCAAAAGTCTCTCAGGAGTCTCAGAAAGGAAGTGGTGTAGGGGAGAAAGTCTAAAGAGTGCAGTTATCAAGTGGAAAAAAAGTTTGGAAATAATAAAAAAAATTTTAAACAAACACCAAACCCCCTAGGTTAAGGTAAGCCATTAATAATGTTTCTAATGGTTCTATGTACATATCATGTGTCTGAGGTGTCTCCATAGGTGTGAGCATATTAACGAAATTAATCTCGATTTAGCGAACTAGTTCACTAAATTGAGCGAAAAAAAAATCCTTCCGCTAAATCAAGAATTTGTTATATCAGATTCCGTTAAATCGGGAGTATACTGTATCATGCACGAGCATCTGCTGAAATGTGGCTTCTAATTGTCGAAGACATCTATAATTGTGGGGACAAAACAACCCTTCATCAAATACAGGTCGTCAATAGAGCAAGTGTTCCTGGAGCACCACATACTTCATATTACTTCAGTCATCTTATGTACATTACCATTAATGTACTTTATAATTTACTAACTCACCCAGGCAGACACTAGGGACCTAGCCAAGGGCTCTAGGGACTCACAGTAAGTCACCCTATATTGGAAGTGCCATCTGGTGAATGACATTAAACCAGAAAAGTTTTAAATAACTTTTGTCACTTGGAATTGTAATGTGACTAATAAACTGGTTAATAAATCAGGACTAAGTATACATAAAAATCTTTTCCTAACTCACCGCTTCCCTCCGTCTTCGCTCTTGTTCCCTCAGCTTCTGTCGGTCACGGTCACTAAGCTTTGCATTATCATGAGAAGGTGTTGGAGTGGCAGGTGGATGAGAACTTGGTGGACCAGCAGGTGTTGCCAACTGCGGATGAGGTGATGTAGAGGCAGTCATAGGAGTCGCCACTTTGGGACCAGGAGTTGGTCTTTCTTTTACAACAACTGGCTCTCGTCTGATGAAAAAAAAAAAAACATATAAGGGGAAGTATGGTACAGTACATACTAAATTAAATTTCTTACATAACTAAGATGTAATAAAAAAAATTGACAAAATACGTACTGTATGTAACAGTATAAATGTTTAGAAAAACAGGATTTTTAATGAAATAAATATTGGTTCAGGTAACAGTAAAAATGATAATCTGTAGCCTTTACCAGTGTCCATAATACTGTATTGTCTTTGTAAGGAGATGTTAGATCTAAATAATCTAAGAACTTCTATTGAGGACAAAATTTACAAGTACAGTACTGTACGTATACAGCATTCACAGGGTCTTATATCAAATACTGTACAGTATTCTGGAGAAATGAGTAATATCAAGGCATACTTTCCAAATGTGATCTCAAAACAGTTACAAAGAAGCAACACCATTCCAAAACAATACAAGTCAGAGAGTGATGACAAGGAATTATATAGTATATTATATATATATATATATATATATATATATATATATATATATATATATATATATATATATATATATATATATATATATATATATATATATATATATATATATATATATATATTATATATATACAGTAGTACCCTGATTTACGCGGTCAATTGAACCCACGGGGTACCGCATAAAGTGAACAACAGAACATATGGGATTAATTCCAATAGAGACTGGCCCGAGCCCCAAACTCCACTTTTTCCGACACAATACCTATGTTGTAGTAAAAATAACATCTTAATTTTATGATGATATGCACACACAATTAATATTTAAGAGAAATACAGTCGCCAGGTTAATGTCCATTCAAATAATGGACTCAACTCCCCCCCCCCACCTCTTCCCAGCTCACTGGCTCCTACCTCTCTGAGAAATGTTTGGGTGAAAACACTAGATTTTAACGAATAGTAATAAATAATACCTCAGACTAAAGTTAGGATAATATAATTGACATTTCTGGATTCCTTGCAGGTCAGGGAATATTTTGAATGTAAACTTCATATATTTTGCACAAAAGACATAATATTTGCTTTAAGTAAACCAAATTATTACATTAGATCTAAAGTTTGTATGTCTGATGCAAAATCCATGATGTTTATATTCAAAATGATCATCATATTGTAAGAATTCCAGCAATGCAAATTATATTCTGGCCGAGTAATTTGTATGAATTTTATGAGCTAAAACAAATATCTTCAGGTAATAATAAAAAAAATATTCTTCATGACACTATCTGTCAATCAAAATACCCCACCTTGCCTCCCCCCTCTTGTCAATCAAAATACCCCACCTTGCCCCCCCCCCTCCACACCACGCCAGCTGGGTGGTCGGTCCCAACCCTCCCCCCAACCCCCCACCTTCCCTCCCTACCAGAGAAATGTTTGGGAGAAAACAGTATAACTTGTATTTACATTTTTAGTAATAAATAATACCTCAGACTAAAGTTAGGATAATATAATTGACATTTCTGGGTTCCTTGCAGGTCAGGGAATATTTTGAATGTAAACTTCATATATTTTGCACAAAAGATAAAATATTTGCTTTGTGTAAACCAAATTATTACATTAAATCTAAAATTTGTATGTCTAATACAAAATCCATGATGTTTATATTCAAAATGATCATCATATTGTAAGAATTCCAGCAATGTAAATTATATTCTGGCCGGGTAATTTGTATGAATTTTATGAGCTAAATAAAAAATTATACTTCACCCACGTATATGAGTAGATGCACTGCGGAAAGCGAAAGTCCGGTTCTGGCGTGAGAATGAGAATCGTGGAAAGTGAAACCGTGTAAAGCGGGGTAATAGTGTACATACATACATACATACATATATATATATATATATACATATATACAGTCAACCCTCACTTTATGCGGTCCCACATTCCGCGTTTCTACGTTTACGCGGTGCCCTGCCAGAACCCAGGATGCTCACATTCCGCGGTGGGTGTACCCCTTTACATTGCTGGAATTCTTACAATTTGATGATCATTTTGAATATAAACATCATAGATTTTGCATTAGACATACAAATTTTAGATATAATGTTTACTCTGAGTAAATATGTTATCTTTTGTGCAAAATATATGACATTTATATTCAAAATATTCCTGGTCTTGCAAGGAATCCAGCAATGTCAATTATATTATCCTAACTTTAGTCTGATTTATTATTTATTACTAAAAAGGTAAACAGTCTGGTATTCCCACACATTTATCTGGTAGGGACGGTTGGTGGGGGGTGGGGGGGAGGGAGGGACCGGCGACCGACCACCTGGCATGTGTGAAGAATATTTTTTTTTTATTAACTTAAGATTTTTATTTTAGCTCATAAAATTCATACAAATTACCCGGCCAGAATATAATTACACGAAAGCTTTGGGAACTTCGTGTTTTCTTCTTTCCTTGTGGTTATCAGCATATACCTAGATCACGCACTACAGTGATTTACTTGCATATATATATATATATATATATATATATATATATATATATATATATATATATATATATATATATATATATATATATATATATATATATATATATATATATATATATATATATATATATATATATATATATATATATATATATATATATATATATATATATATATATATATATATATATATATATATATATATATATACATATATATATATAAAGAATAGCCTCCCATAACGATGGTTCTACTGACAACGATTCATATTTAAAAACCTTGGTTAATTCAGGACCCAATTCAATTTCCATCATTATTTTCTTCATATTTACGATGAAAATATTAAACCAAATTAAGTAAAATTACATTTTCAAATAAATATTAACTAAATCCTAATATGTATAAGAAAAAAAAAATAAATAAATAAAATAAATAAAAAAATAAAAAATAACACGCTTTGCGTACAGAGGCTGCCGGGCTTGTGAGGGTGAGGCCAGTATAAACATTCGCAGCTGACGGGCTCTTTGTTTTCACGCATATGAACAGGAAAAGGAGAAAAACATTCTCAGGTTTCTTACGGCATTTTTTGTGTCCCTATTCAACATGAGCAAGAGAGCAAGATATGATAGTGCACCTTTAAAAGCTAAAAGAAAATGTATAAGCTTAGCCGAGAAACTAGATGTGTTAAAACGATATGAATAAGATGAGAGGTCTGTGGATATTATATGGAGCAAGCAATGAACATAATATTATTTTCTGAAGTGGATCCAGGGGGGTGCTGGTGGAGCGGTACCGCTCTTGCCTCGCAAGCAAGATGTCCCGGGCCGGCAGAAGTTGTTTGGACACTCTTTCTAGTCCCCTTCGTCCCTGTTCACCTAGCAGCAAAGTAGGTACCTGCTGTAAATCAAAATTTGCGAATTCGTATTCAGGGACAAGTTGTTGGAGCTTCCAATAACTTGCTTAGACATAAACCATTGACTCTTCAGGCTTCTATGCCCTTGACTATTCAGGCTTCTATGCCCTTAACTCATGAGACATAAGGCAAGCATGAACTTAGCATGCTTCCCTGTTGGGCGCTGTAAATGCTTCTGCACTTCACCTTACACAAGAATGTAGGGGGGAGGGGGGGGTGTGTGTGCCCCCCCCCCCAAAAAAGTGGATTCATTAACAGAACGAAGCATTAAAATTAACAGGGACGTAAAAAACACATATGACTTCTACATAAAGATGTATAATGAGAAAAGAAAGCGGCTATGAAAGGTTCTTTCGACAGCTTTATTATTCAAAGGCCTAAACTACCAACTTCAGCATCATCAGCAGCTTTAGCAACAACTTCAGGTTCAGTAACAGTTTCTGCAACAGCTATGATATCTATGGAAAGCTTCAGCTTCAGCCAGAGTTGAACCTGATTAATGAAATCATCTGCGTAAAAACTCGCACAATATTCATTGGCTGTCCTATGTTTTAAACGTTACCACCATTTGTGAGTAGAATTTTTATTTCACATTCGTAAGTAATATTTAAAACATACAGTGGTCCCTCGGTTAACGAGCGCCTCGGTTAACGATTTACCTTCCATAAGATTCTTAACTTCGGTTAACGAGCAATCCCTCGATTAACGAGTTATTTACGAGCCGACTTCAACATGTTTTCGCTTGCATTTGGCGGTCCACCAGCTGTAGTATTAGTCCGCCAATACAGTAATCAGTTTTAGGGCTTAAATTCCTTATTATTTTAGTAAATATCAAGAAGTTTATACTATTCAATAATTTTAAAAGTTTAATATTAACTTTTTTAGTCATTTTAACAATTATTGAACATAATTGAAGGTAAAGAAACTAGTTTCTGGCGTGCCATCCAGCCTGTTAACACACCAGACAGGCGTTAGTCTCTCTCTGTTTTCAGTGGAGGTAACATCTTGCTTGAGACTCTCTTCAACTAAATGCTTTTTTTCTGTGTTTCCAAGCAAATTATTGGTCATTTTGAAATATATTTTACATATTGACAATATATAATGCAGTGCAGTGTTGATTTGAAGACAATAATCTTGAAATACACCAAGAGAACTAAAATTTTATGGGTGAAATGGTGCCATGGGGTGACTTCTCTTCCACCCCAATGCCTTCTTTTCTTCCTTCTCCTCCACCCCCATTCTAATTCCCATCATCATCGTCATCATCCAGGAGCCTTCTACATACACACCTCAAAGTAAGTGTACTTTTCTACCTTTTTTGTTGAATTTAGGCAATTTTCGGTGAGCTGGAACCAATTACCCAAAAACCCATTGAAACAATGGTTTCGGTGAACGAGTTTTTCGGTTAACGAGCAACCTGCTGGAACAGATTGTGCTCGTTAACCGAGGGAGCACTGTATATGAACAGTAATAATTATTGCTTTCATATTCATATGTAGAGAAATGACGATGTTTTCCCCTATACGCACTTACATACGATGGCGTTCCCAATCTATATTCGTTTTTTCTTTACCATTAATGGTTAGCTACTCCTATTGTTCCATTTATTAACATTAAATAACATTACTTAATACATACACATTCAATTTTTTACATTAATTTTACTACAGCAACAACCAGGGTCTTATTTCTTCAGTTTCTTATGTACAAGTAGAACCATCGTCATTCATCACGGGTGTTGTAAACATGAACGAAAATTGCAATCGCCGTAACGCGTGTTTTGATAACGCGAATTTTCTAACGCGATTTATGAATTCAATATTTGTATAACGCGATCGCTTGTTTGCTATAACGCGATTTTTGCTTACTATTTCTCCAATTTTGTGGTATTAACTGTGAATATGGTGAAATTGCATTGTTCATTTCGCATATATATATATATATATATATATATATATATATATATATATATATATATATATATATATATATATATATATATATATATATATATACACACACAGTCAACCCTCACTTTACGCGGTCCCACATTCCGCGTTTCCACGTTTGCGCAGTACCCTGCTGAAACCCGGGATGCTCACATTCCGCGGTGCGTATACCCCTTTACGCGGAGAGTGTCCAGCTCGACGCTATTTTTAGATTCGCCCCTCCCGCCTGCTCCCGCCTCCGCCTGGGCAAGCCGCGCGGTAAGGATGCGCAGTGTATGTCTCTGTTGCGTTATCAGTGACGTCATATGACGTATCAGATTGAGATTGGCCTCGTGGATGACCCAACATCATACTTCTCACACAAGTTCCGTACCGATGCACCTTTATCTAATTTCTGCAATAGTTCAACCTTTTCCTGGATATATAGTGACTTGTGCTTACGCTTAGAAGCACTAACACCACTATCACTGCTTCGTGGTTTCTTTGAAGACATTTTGAAGGGTTAAATGTTGTACTCTGTATAGACAAACAGAGAGAGAGCCGAACTGCCGGATGTAAACAAACCCTAATTTCCCGCGCCTTTGTTGTTTTTTTTTTACGGGGATTAGCCCACCCGGGCACAGGTCACTGACCCACATTGGGGCCTGAGGGGCGAAAATGTAATACTCCTGTAATAATAATAATAATTCAGATAAAAAATAAATAAAATAAAATAAACTAATAATATTAATACAGTAATAGCTGCCTATCTACCTATTGGGCAAATTAAAATCATTCCAGACCACGGGAGTTTCCGGACCACAGAATGCCGGACTAGAGAGGTACAACCTGTACTACAAAAAACAATGTTTTGTTTATTCTAGGAGATGGGCTGAGGTGCAACTGGGGGATTCATTAGCTTATGGGAGACCTCAACTTCACAATAGGACGTGGCTGATTTTTTTCTCCACTTTTCAGACAAAAAAGTGCGTCTTATATGCAGTAAAATATGGTAATTAGACAAAACTAATGATGCACACCTAGTATTGCATAACCAGCAAATGAAGGGGAGCCTCTATTGATTTCACCTTCGGTACACTTATCTAAGGACTACATAGATTTAAATAATATAAGGATTCCTAATCTACATTTAACATGAAGTGAGCAATAAAAAAATTAAACACGATAATACCTTGTTGAACTTGAAACCCGAGGGGTAAAAATTTCTAATTGTATGTCATAGTAAACAGAGTAAAAAAAAAAATCATAAGTGTTATGGGGATACGGTTTGGAAATTTTTTCCTAACTCATTCATTGATGACTCAGTATATTGGTATGCTGTCATAGTTTTCCATAATACCACCAAAAATAAAACTACAAGATAATAATATAACACCAACCTCTGCAGCTCCTGAGTAGCTCTTGCCTCCTTTGCTTGCTCCATGGCTCTCTCTAGTGCTTCTTCTTCTGCACGAGCCCGTTCTCGTTCAGCTTCTTGCCTCGCTCTTTCTTTTTCTACCTGCTCCTTTTGTTGCCGTCTTTGTTCTTGCTGTTCAATAATTTGACGTTGCTGTTGGAAATAATACATAGGATTTTCCAGTTTTACAGACACAAAAGTACACACACACACATACACACAGGCTTTCAACTCTTTGCAGCGCTGAGCATAAAATCACTTAATGCTCTCTATCTTCATATAATAAAATATTTACAGTATTATATCATGAACAAACCCTCAGGTATACGGACTGGCAACCATGGCCAATCATTCCAAATGTTTGTGGGCTCTCATTACCAATCCTCCTTCATTGTGTATCTCTTTGGGTACCCAGCTTAACATTTCATTCAAATATTCTAGTCTCTGATCTCCCCTGACCCTCCTACCATCACTTTTACACAGTAAAATCTCCACAATTATCACATCTAATTACTGTATAAGACCACAGTAACTAATTTTCTGAAACCTTATTTCAATAATGCATCTAACTTTACTATTAGCTCTTCAATCAAAAGTAAATCCTTATATTTTGTATAAATTTACTGCTGATTTTCAATTACAAATACATTTTCTATAGGAGAGCTAAACAAGGAATTTTGAAAAGAATCATATTTTTTTTTTTACAGTACAGTACAGTATATAAAATGAATATGAATGCTTACCCTTGCTTCCTTCTCCTTTGCAACTCTCTTAAACTGTGCAAAGGAATCACTAGCAGAAGTCTTGAGTGAGGTTGAAGCAGTGGGAGATGGGACAGCACTCTGGGCTAGTGAAGACCATGAGCTTAGGTTCTTGGGCGTTGGTTTGGGTTTATTAAATGATCCTCCACCTGATGACTTTGGAGTTTCAGGCGCTGATGACGGAGGTTTTTTCTCTTGGGCAGCTAAATAGCTGGCAAGTGCTGATGCCTCTGCTGCATGTTGTCTCTGTAATGCTTGAGCATCTGCATGAAGCTCTTCTTCAGCTTGTTTGCGCATAAGAGATGGGTCACCTTGGGTTTGTGAAACTGTTGGGTAGTATCCTAAACTAGTGTCAAGACCTGCTGCTTTTAGATCAGCTAAACTTGTTTCTGGTAGGTGTGAGGGTATATCTTGCTGAGAATCATGACCACCAGCCATCAATGGATTGTGTGGCGGTACTGCACTGGAGGTAGTAGCCACAGACATAGCAGCATTACTTGCAGACACAGCATCAACAAGACTAGGCAACATTCCACCAGGTACAGCACTACTCAAGCCCTCTAGCCCAGTTGGTCCTAAAGATGATAACCCACCCAATCCTGTGATTGCACTTATCCCTGCTAAACTATGAACCAGTGACTGAGCCACACCTAGTGGCATGTCGCCAGAAAACCCATTTGAGACTGAAGGATGAGGGAGTCCAGTTACATTATGACCTAGCGGTGCCCCTGAGAGTGGGTGTTGGTGTTGCTGTTGTTGGTGATGATGTTGTTGTTGTAGATGATGGTGGTGCTGCTGAAGCTGTTCTAATTGTTCTTGTAACTGCAGCTGTTGTTGATGTAAATGCTGCTGTTCTTCTGTTGTTGGCAGAGAATGTGATGGATGCTGGGGTTGCTGTTCATGATGATGATGTGCTTGATGATGTTGGGAGTGCTGCTGTTGATGTTGCTGGCTCTGTTGTTGGTGGTGATGGTGTTGTTGTTGTTGTTGTTGTTGTTGCTGTTGTTGTTGTTGTTGTTGTTGTTGTTGCTGTTGTTGTTGCTGTTGTTGTTGCTGTTGTTGTTGTTGTTGTTGCTGTTGCTGCTGCTGCTGCTGCTGCTGCTGCTGCTGCTGCTGCTGTTGTTGTTGTTGCTGCTGCAGTTGCTGCTGCTGTTCTTCTTGCTGTTGTAATTTTTGTTGCTGTTTTTGCTGCTTTTGCTGTTCTAATTGTTGTTTTTGATGTTCGAGCTGCTGTTTTTGTTGTTCTAGCTGCTGCTTTTGTTGAAGCTGCTGTTGTTGTTGTTGTTTTTGTTGTTGCTTTTGTTTTTCTTGAAGTTGTTTTTCTTGTTCTTGTTGTTGTTGTTGTTGTTGTTGAAGCTTTTGTTGTTCTTGTTGCTTTTGTTGTTCTTGTTGTTTCTGATGTTCATGGTGCTGGTCTTGTTGTTGTTGTTGCTGCTGTGCCTGTTGTTGTTTGCTGGTGTGTTGAGTCTGGGCTTTAGGAGCATTACTTCCGGTCAATATATTTTTTAATTCTGACTTCACTGGATCTTCTAATTTTACATCTGCTGATACTGAAATTAAAATAACAATAATAATAATCAAATAAGCCCACACAGTAGAGTAAATATTGGTACAACCTGCAGGGTTACTGAGTCAACAGAATATAGTACTATGCTTCACTACTTCTCACTCTGACAACCCTATTCTTTGCTTCATTATTTCTCACTTAAATACCCTTTTCAAGCATAAAAGAAAGCTGACATAATACAGGTTGATAACCCTTTATCCGAAATTCCGAAAACCGAAAAGCTCTAAAAACCGATTTTTTTTAAACAGGGATTAGCCCACCCAGGCATAGATCACTGAACCACACCAGGGCCTGGGGGTCGAAAATGTAATAGTAATAATAATTATAATAATAATTATTCATAGTAAATAAAAATTTTAATAAAAATACAAAATAAAATAATAATCATAACAAAAATAATAATAAAATATAATAAAATTAATATTAATAATAACAATAATACTGTAATAATAAAATAATAATAATACAGTAAAGAAATAAAAGATCAAAAGTGAGAAACACGACCTACACCTATGAATTATTATAATTATAATTTTTTATTATATTTTAAATTATATTATATTTTCACCCCCGAAAAATTCCGAAATCCGAAATGCCTCTGGCCCCAAGTATTTCGGTTAAAGGATTGTCAACCTGTAGTTCCTGCCCAATTATGGTCCCACTAAGGAAGGTGTAAGGTTTTCTACATTCATTGCTTGCCCTCCTCAGTCATAAATTTATTTAACCCATGGGTACCTGTAAGCCATCCTCAAAATAGAACCAAACTAGGTACATGATTGAAGTCATTTGTGAAGGACTGATGAAAACATCCAAAGAAAGAAAATTTTTTTTTTTCTAAATAGTATCATGGAGAGGTTATCAATTTCCATAGCTACCTATGAAGAGCTAAACAGAAGAAAAAGTATTCTATAAATTATGGATTTCAGTGGAGACTCTAAATTTCATATGTTCTTGATTTGTTAAAAGATTGAGTCGATTTATGGTAGTTAAAAAAAGTGTGAAAGTTAGCAATTGTTTGCATTAGACCAAATGAGTAACTAAAGAATAATAAGGTCTTTATATTTAAGTATGATTTAATAGTGAATACCAGACATAAGAGTAAATCCTTACCTGCAGAAGAGACTTTACTTCCAGAAGGCCCAAGAGTGACCTTCAAGCTTTGTACGCGACCAGTGGAATTCTCCTTGGATGAACCTTTGCCTAAAAGTGAAAGATATTCTAATTTTATGTACCCATCACCACTCAAGATGAAATGCAACATTATTACTGCTTAAGATACACATGGAATGTGTGAACATCTAAAAAACAAGAATTTCAGTATTTAATAATGAATTATAATAAAATATGGATAATATAACTCTTTTACATAAACTACTTTGAAAACAAACAAGTCAATTTTATTTTTTAAATACTCTAAGTTTAGCTGCTTCATAAAAAAAACAAGAAAAAAACATGACATACCATTTAACCTTTTTGTACAGAACAATTGTGATTGATAAAGAGAACTGCATGTCAAGGTCATCTTGGCAAAGGGTGTTGGGACTTATGATTTGAGACAATTAACAAAATTTTTAAGCTTACGTTAATCTGGGTTGGTAGTGTCATGTGCACAGCTGGTCAATCAGTCTTACCAAGACTAAACAAATCTAACAATAATGGAAAGCAGCTTCCCTGGCGTATGGAGTCATTTGAAAACTGACCGGTGACATTAACCCATCAGAACACTCCCTAGCAGAACCTACCTTGCCCAAGATGCTATCTGTATTCTGAAGAAAGGACACTGTCCTGTCAGATCTGAGCAAATTTCAGCACAAATGGCTACTCACCCAGTTGAATCAAAGTTCATGAAGTAAACCCCATCTCTGATACCGAGTTGCTTCAAAAGCCTGAATAAACAGATGCAATGGAACAAACCCTATTGCTGGTTCACAGAACTCACATTCCTCTGGTACAGACTTAGGTTTCAAATTTCATTCCTTAATTTCATTTACCTTTGACTGTCAACATATGTTGTCTATTCTGTTCTGTACTTCTATAAATTTACAAGGACAATTAATCTCTTCCATTTATCTTTTCATGCTGGCAGTGTCAACCTGTGCCAAGCTGTCCTTTATGAAGAAGTACAGTATATACAGTACACTATTTGTGTTGTGAGTGGTGTTTGATGGTTCATATGCCTGCCAACTTGTTCACTATGCAAGAATGCTTTATTTGAATATGATTCTAGTGGAAGCCTGATGGTGTGTCAGTCATAAGAATCAAATTCCCCACATACGTTATATGTGCTTAAAGCATCTACTGTATATAAGCTTAGCATTTCAATTGTATTGAAAGTTTTATATAATGATGAGTTTTGTAACTTGCCCACAGAGTAAGGCAGATAGTCTGTCATGGTCTTACTGACCATTCTGTGTGTGTGTAGAAATTTAACCTGAAAAATTAGAAGCCCTACCTATTAACTAATGGTTAATATGTGATGCATTACATCTGGTCACAAAAATCAACTCAAAGTAAATGAAGTATAACTAGGTAGATCTTGTTTATTATATGCTAAACTATATCATTTACTAATGACTTAATCAAAATTAAAACCCACATCATTAAAATATTATAAAAATCTAATAATACTTTTTTTGACTAATAACACTTTGTAATGTTTAACTATGCACTTTAGTTACAACTGGTGTTTATAAGGGATGTCATAGTGTATACTGTACTGTACTGTGTTGAGAAAGAAAACTACAGTAATAGAAAGTCTTGGTGGTTCCTGAAACATAACCAATACTTTATGGATTTATAATTTCATGATTACATGCCTCACCTTTGGTGACACAATGTCATTAAAAATAAGGGTTTAGTAAAAAAGATTTCAGTCAGGTTTACTACTTCTCTTCTAAAGAGTAAGCTTTCTGGTTTCTATTACCATTTCAAGCATGTTGTCCTCCCATTCAGTCTTCTCTTGATGATTTCTTCTTTCCAGTTGTGTGAGAGAGGACAAATCATGGAGTACTAGATCAATGTGTCCTCCAGTTATCTATTGGTTGTAGATACTGTACAGTATTTCCAAAAAGTCACTTGTTTAGGAGAGATATTCTCAGAGCTCAAATCTAATTCCTGGGGGTGAGTTTCTTTTCTTCCTTCCTTCTTTAATTTTCTTAATACAGATTGTAACTGAATTTTCTCTTTTTCCAGAAATTTTATTTGGAATTTTCTGCAATTTATTATTACTCTATCAAATGTTTGCCAAGTAGCCAAAGGAATTAAACTTTCCTGTTTTATTGTCTGGTGATGCTGGCTTCTTTAGTTTCTTTTTATTGGGTGACACTCTTTGGGCTGAAGTACGGTATAGTTTTCTATCTCTAATACCGAGTCTTGCCGTTCTTTATGACACAATACAGTTCTTGCCTTTCTAAGTTTTGAGTCTCATGTGGGACATTTTGCCAACCCTCAACTTTGAGACTGATGGTGAATGTAAAGAGAATACAGGTACTCCTTGACTTACGACCGTCGCATTCGTATAAAATATCTTTCAAATTACGTATTTTCGAGTCCCGACATTAGTGATCGCGCTGTGTACTGACAAAATTTTTGTTTGAAATTCACTTTAAAATGGCTGGCAAGTGTAAAAGTGAGAATTCTCGTGGTGCTGAGAAGAAAAAGAGACACCCATTTTAGATTTTCTATGTATTATTTTCGCCTTTTCGACTTACGACCTGGTCGTCGGTCCCTAACCCCGTCGTAAGTCGAGGGCTGACTGTACTGTACAGTATTCTTATATTATTATGTACTGTACATCTTACATGTATTGTACACATGTTCTCTTAGAACTTTCCTTCAATTGTTGAGTAAGTGTTCTTATGCCTCTGGCATTCCTTTTCAACTGCTGACAACACAAGTCTGATAATGGATTCCTTGAGTCAGAGGTTGTATCCTCATTAGTTTCCTCTACTGATCTGGATTTTTATTTACTGTAAACCACCAAGACCTTCATTGGAGCTATAACAGATTTTTCCATGTTTATGGCTATTTTGAATCCAGTTCTTAAAGGTTAACTTCTTCCCATTTTCTAAAAGAACATTCTCTTCCTTGGAGAGATATTGTGAGGTGTCATCAAGTATTATTTTCAAGTGGTCTTCTTGATTTCTTTATGCAGCCTTGCAATTTCTATTCCCAACACTTCTTTCTCCCAAATATGAGTGATTTTATTTTAATTAAGTTTGGGGGCAGATATGCTGTGCTATGAACTAATCTACTACAGGTACTGAACTTAATACTGAGCATCATTATCTTTTTTGGTCTTTTTGGCTCTTAATTAATAGGTTCTTCTAATCTGATTATACTCTTTCTGGTTGAGTGATTACAGTAACCTCAACAATAATTGGTGTTGAAAGGAGCTGTAGAATCTAAAAATAGTATAGATAATGCACGCACACGCATGCATAAGAACATATGAAAATAAGGAGTTTGCAATAGGCCGGTTGGCCTGTGCATAGCAGCTCCTGTTGAGAGTTACTACCACTCTTTATCATCCATGAATCTATCTAGCCTCCCTTTAAAATTTTCTAGCATTCCAGTACTTACTACAAAGTTGCTAAGCTTGTTCCACTTGTCCACCACCCTATTTGTGAACCAGTTCCTTCCTATCTCCCTCCTAAACCTAAACTTATTCAACTTAAATCCGCTGCTAAGAGTCCTATCCTGCTCGGATATTATAAGAACTTTCTCTATATCTCCCTTTATTGTTTCCTTTCACCCACTTAAATACTTCTATCATATCTCCCCGCACTCTTTGTCTTTCTAGGGAACGCAAATTTAGTTTCTTTAATCTGTCTTGATATGGAAGGTTTCTAAGTCCCGGAATTATTTTTGTCATTCTTTGCTGCATCGACTCCAGTGAATTGATATCCATTCTATAATAAGGGCACCATAACTGAACAGCATAATCGAGGTGCGGCCTGACTAGCGCAAGATATAGTTGCATTATGACCTCCACACTCTTATTACTTACATTTCTAGATATAAAACCTAATACTCTGTTTGCCTTATTTCGAACATTAACGCACTGTTTTCTAGGCCGTAGGTCCGGGCTTACAAGTACCCCTAAGAAACAAGTCGACTTCTCTAGGTTGATGTTGTTAAGGCTGTATACATTGACAGTATTTGTTCCTCCAATATTAAGTATGCTGCACTTGCTGGTGTTGAATTTCATTTGACACACACACACACACACACACACATATTTAAATTAAATATTTGACATTGAAAGAAATTTAATAAAATTCAACAAGGGAAAACAATGATGCTCTGGTTAAGGAAAATAAACCAGACACCATAATGATCATCACTTTCCCTGATATAATGCAAGCCACCTACAACCAAGAGCAAAAATATATTCTCCTCCATTCATTCTCTGTAACTGTTAAACAACTGACTGATGCTCTCTTATTAACACAATCTATTGCCTCGTGGATGTTCATGTCCGTCAGATCTAGTACTTCATTCAAACCATCCTTCCATCTCCTTCTTGGCCTTCCCCTCTACTCCCTTCCATTCACAATCTCTACCAATTATTTATTTTTCTTTTTTTCTTTCAATATACCCATACCAACTTTACAAACCCTGCTCAACTCTATTAAAAAATTCTTTAATTTCTGTATCTCCATCTAACTTCTGTGGATCTTATCTACTAAATATACTGCTTTCAAGAACATCATTTCTGTTGCATCAATACCAATAGTTCATGCTTCACTCCCATATACCACTACTGGCTGCACAATTCCTCTCTGTATATTCCCAAGTTTACTTCCCTTAACACAGTTCTCTCTTTCCAAAATGTAACTACTGTGTCACCTTCGTTCCCTCAACACCCCATTGATTCACTTTGTCATCCACTGTTACATTAGCTGACACACCCACTCACAGGTATCTTTCAATGCCCCACTTCTTCGATTCTATCCATTTAAGCTGGCAATATATTCTCCCTGTTTCCCATATTTAAGCACCATACCTCTTTCGTTCATATTCATTATCAATTTTCTCCTATTATAGTACACACAATCTTCAAGTTCGTTTGCTAATACTTGCAATTTTTCTTCCAGAATAACCACCAGGATAGTACCATCCGAAAACACCAGCTGCTTCATCTTTGTAACCTGTATCCCTATTTGCCAAACTTGCTTTCTATTCCAGTACTGCACAAT